GAAGATATGCTTAATATGAATGTATAAGTACAGCCTATATCAGATTGCACACCATCTTGGGGAGGGGGGAAGGGAGAGGGAGAGAAAATTTAAAACTCAAAATCTTATGGAAGTGAATGTTGAAAACAAAATAAATAACTGGAGAAAAAAAAAAGAAAGAAAAGAACTGCACAAAACCCTCTGAAGCTTGGGACAGTGCACCGTCCACATTGGAAGCAGAGCCCTACCTTAACAAAGAGTTTAAAAGTCAAGTAATAGGCTAGGAAAATCAGCAAACAACAGAAAAAACTCTGACTATAGAATCTTACTTTGGTGACAAGGAAGATCAAAACATACAACCAGAAGAAGACAACAAAGTCAAAGCTGCTACATCCAAAGCCTCCAAGAAAAATATGAATTGGTCTCAGGCCATGGAAGAGCTCAAAAAGGATTCTGAAAATCAAGTAAGAGAAGTAGAGGAGAAATTAGGAAAAGAAATGAGAGTGATGCAAGAAAATCAAGAAAAACAAGTCAACAGCTTGCTAAAGGAGATAAAGAATGCCTTAAAAAGTAGAATTGGCCAAACAGAAAAGGAAGTCCAAAAGCTCACTGAAGAAAATAATTCCTTAAAAATTAGAATGGAGCAAATGGAAGCTAATGACTTTATGAGAAATCAAGAAATTATAAAATAAAACCAAAAGAATGAAAAAATAGAAGACAATGTAAAATATCTCACTGGAAAAAGAACTGATCTGGAAAACAGATCCAGGAGAGAGAATTTTTAAATTATTGGACTACCTGAAGGCTACAATCAAAAAAAGAACCTAGACATCATCTTTCAAGAAATTACTAAGGAAAACTGTGTTGATATTCTTGAACCAGAGGGTAAAATAGAAAATAATCTATCAATCACCTCCTGAAAGAGATCGCAAAAGGAAAACTCCCAGGAATATTATAGCCAAATTCCAGAGTTCCCAGGTCAAGGAGAAAATATTGCAAGCAGCCAGAAAGAAACAATTCAAGTATGGTAGGACCACAATAAGGATAGCAAAAGATTTAGCAGCTTCTACATTAAAGGATTCTGGAGGGCAAAGGAGCTAGGATTACAACCAAGAATCACCTATCCAGCAAAACTGAGTTTATCCATGAGGGGAAAAAATAATATTGAATGAGATAGAGGAATTTAATGCATTCTTGAGAAAGGACCAGGGCTAAATAGAAAATTTGACTTTTAAATATAAGACTGAAGAGAAGCATAAAAAGGTAAACAGGAAAGAGAAATCATAAGGGACTTATTGAAGCTAACCTGTTTACATTCCTACATGGAAAGATGATATTTTTAACTCAAAAGACCTTTTTCATTATTAGAGTAGCTAAAAGGAATATATATAGACAGAGGGTACAGGTGTGAGTTGAATATGAAGGCATGATATCTAAAAAAATTAAAGGGTGAGAGGAACGTACTGGGAGAAAGAGAAAGGGAGAGGTAGAATGGGTTAAATTATTTCAAATAAGAGGGAAGAAAAAGCTTTTACAGTAGAAGGGAAGAAAGGGGAGGCGAGAGGGAATGAGTGAAACTTTCATCAGAATTGGCTTAAACAGGGAATAATGTATACACTAAATTGGGCATAGAAATCTAGCTTACCCCACAGGAAAATAGAGGGGAAGGGGATAAGAGAGTGGGGGGAAGCTAGAAAGGAGGGTAGATTGGGGGAGGCAGTAGTCAGAAGCAAAACACTTTTGAGGAGGAACAAGGTGAAAGGAGAGAGAGAACAGAATAAACTGGGGTGGGGAGACAGGATGGAGGGAAATATAGTTCATCTTTCACAACATAACTATTATGGAAGTATTTTGCATGCCTATACATACATAATCTATATCAAACTGCTTACCTTCTCAATGGGGGGGTGGGGTGGAGAAGGAAGAAGGGAGAGAATTTGGAATTCAAAGTTTTAAAAATTAATGTTAAAATTGTTTTTACATGTAACTGGGGAAAAAACAAAATACCAGATAAATAAATAAATGTTTATTGGATTGCACTGGATTAGTCATTCTTGAAAGCAATTTGGAACTTTCCCCAAAAAAGGGCTAAACCCATTGATAACAAATACTAGGCTGGACTAGGCCCAAAGAGATTGAATAAAGAGAAAAAAGACTCATAGGAACAAAAATATTTATAGCAGCTCTTTTTTGTAATAGTAAAGAGCTGGAAATTCAGGGTTACCCATCAACTGAGGATAGCTAAACAAAATACAGTATATGAATGTAATGGAATATTATTGCACTATAAGAAATGATTAAATGATTTATATGATTAAAATTAAAGACTTCATAGAAATATGGGAGGACATATGCACAATGAAGTGAGTAGAACCAAGAGAATAATTTATAACAACAATATCATAAAGACTAACAACTTGGAAAGGTGGTCAATACAGTGACCAACCACAATTCCAGAGGATAGATGATAATGCATACTCTCTGACTCTCAGAAAAGAGGTAATGGCCCTAAGATTTATAATGAGACATGCAATTTCAGACATGGCTCATGTGGGAATTTGTTTTGCTTGACTATGCATATTTGGGGTTTTTTTCCATTTTTAAAAATAATTTATTTTGATTTATCAACAATCACTTCCACACACTTTTGAGTTGAAAATTTTTCTCCCCCTTCCTCCCCCCACCCTCCCCAAGACGGCGCACAATCTGATATAGGCTTTATATTTACATTCCTATTAAACATATTTTCACATTAGTGAAGTTGTAAGTAAAAATTAAAACCAATAGGAAGAACCATCAGAAAGATGAAACAAAACTCAACAAAAGGTAAAAATAAGTGATAGCGATTCGACTTCCATAGTTCTTTCTTTGGATGTGGACAGCATTTTCCATCCCAAGGCCTCTGGAGATGTCTTAGATCCTTGTAATGCTGAGAAGGGTTCAGTTTAACAATGTTAGTCATCGCATAACATGGCTGTTATTGTGTACAAAGTCCTCTTGGTTCTGCTCACTTCACTCAGCATCAGACCGTCTAAGTCTTTCCAGGTTTTTCTGAAGTCAGCCTGTTCATCATTTCTCATAGAACAATAGTATTCCATTACATTCATATACGACAACTTGCTCAGCCATTCCCCAATTGATGGGCATCCTCTCAATTTCCAATTCTCTGCCACCACAAAAAGAGCTGCTATGAATATTTTTGTACATGTGGGTCCTTTTCCCATTTGTTTGATCTCTTTGGGATATAGCCCTTAGAAGTGCTATTGCTGGATCAAAGGGTATGCACATTTTTGTAGCCCTTTGGGCATAGTTCCAAATTGTTCTCCAAAATGGTTGGATCATTTCACAACTCCACCAACAATGTATTAGTGTTCCAATTTTCCCACGTCTTCTCCAACATTTATCATTTTCCTGTTTTGTCATGTTGGCCAATCTGATAGGAGTGATGTGGTACCTCAGAGTTGTTTTGATTTGCATTTCTCTAATCAATAACGACTATGCATATTTGTTACAAGGGATTTGTTTTTCTTATTTTCAGTAAGGTGGGAGGTAGAGGAAAGAAATGTTTGCTAATTTAAAAAAATGTGTTTACCAAAAACAAAATACTGAGAAAGACACAGAGAGACAGAAAGCAGTGATGACTCATCTATATGTTTCATTATTACTTATACCTTAGTAGATATGGCATTATAGATAGAGATTCATAAGGAGCCCAGAGAAATTAAGCCTAAGGTCACACAGGTACTAAGTAGCAAAGATGGGATTTGAGCCCAACTCTTCTGGCTCCAAATCTAGCACCCCTTCCACTGTTTCATTCATAACATTTTCTCAAAAAGCACTTAAAACAAATGATATTGTAGATATAATAACACATTTCCTCTTGAAAGTCTACTACAACAAAACAAACAAGACAGCATATTCAAAGACCATTAGACCCAAAAGCAATATCAGTGATAAGCAGTTAATTGAAGAGTCTTATTTTATAGATGATGAAACTGAGACCTAGAGAGGTGATGTGATTTACTCAAATTCATGGAGCTAGTTAGTGGCAAAAATGGGACTAGAACACAGGTCTTCTGGCTCCCAATCTAGTGATCTTTCCACTGCAATATGCTATTTCCTATTCTATCTACACATTACAGTTGATCCTGACAATGTTTCAAAGGGTAATCCAAGGTATTGATTTTAATTTAGCAGAAAGAATTTGTGGTTTGGGGACTAAATTATTTTAGACATTCTCTCTATAGGTCATTAGAGAAAACTGAAGTTAAATAGAATATTCCTATTAGTCTTCAACTTTAAATCTCAGAGAGGATGTTATATATATTCCATAAGTGTACTAGTTTCTGAAATTTCTTCCTTCTTTCTAAAGAATCTAACTTAACTTCTAGAATTCAAAGTAAAATGCAAAAATGAATACACTTGTCCCTTCCACACTGTAGGGGTTAAGGTGCCCCTGCAAACTGAAAAATCAGCATAAAATTTTTTGGCCCTCTGTACCAGAGAAGAAATCTGTTGATATTATACAATACTATACATATATTTTATGCATTTCTGAGTTTCTAAACTTTTTTTGTGTCAATTGCTAGCCTCCGTGTGTTGTCTGTGGCTTCCACAAAACTCCCCCAAAATTCCTATTTAATTTCTTATGCTAACCTGCAATATATTGAAACCGCAATGGGGAAATCACAATGTGGAAGGGATAACTGTATAATTTGACACTACAGATTTGATATCATTTTGGCTTCTTTGTTAGGAATCTTACCTTCTTATGTAATTAACTGGTATTATTTTTCAATCTATGCATGTATTAAAAAAAACTATAGGTTAAATACACAACTTAAAGATTTTCTTTGACAGCTTAACTGTGCATACTGAATTAATAGCTGGCCATCATTAATATCCTTACTTACATGTGATACTGAATATAGGGAGCAAGAAGTTTCTCAACATAATGCCTCACGTCTAATATATCCAGATAAACAGTTATGTGGTAAGGAACTCTACTTTTTTGTACTCACCAGTGATCTCACATTGATTATCTTCTGTTCTTTTAGCTCTGAAAATTAAATAAAAGCAACTGTATTATGCTTTATAAAAATATTTGTACAGAATCATAACTTGCATTAAACATTAAAAGCATAAAGTAGCCAGTAAAAGAACTTTCCTGGAGTACATACAGTATGGATGTAACAGACACATATGTGCATATATGCATGTGTATACATACATATTTATTTACACATACACATATTCTGTTTTGCTTGGAAGACTCATCTATTATTGGCAGTTACAGGATACAGTATCTGAAAATTTTTTGCTACGGTGAACCATTTAATTTCTACTACATTTACTGACTATGGAGAGGAAATGAAAGGGGCCTAAGTTGATGCTGCCTATTTATTTCAAACCACTGTAGAATTTTTTTTTTTTAAAAAAAAGATATACATGGTTTCCTTTTATTCATTTTGGGTAATCTCTTCCAGACTTAACTCTCCTTTAGCTTATAGATATTGAAATGAAATGTAGAAAGTTCCACTTCATATTATTGGCATGTCTATGGGTGTGTCTTCTGATACTGAACTCGGATTTAACTAGCAGGTGGAATTTAGATTAATAGTCTCACATGAGTCAGCTTTATAAAGGTCCATCTGCAGATAATCATGCAGAAGAGTAACCCAGATCCAGGATCATCTCAGCAATGATCCTTAAAGTGTACTGCTTGCATCAAATTAACTATAATTTGGGCTTTAAGAATATCAGACCAACAGAAGTTCTATCAAACATGTTTAAATGCACTTTATTTTAGACAATCTACATAACTTTAAAAAAAAATAATCCACCACTTCAAAAAAATTAAGGTTAAAAAAATTAACAAGGATCAAGATGACATCAGTTCAAAGTCTGTCCAATTCTTGGTGTTGCATAGGTGACAAAAAGCAGGTGCCAGTTATCCAAAGAGGTGATCAAAAGCAGTTGGCTAAATGTTAATATTTCTCCATTCTACACCATCCATAAAGAAAATCAAAATTGAATTACCCCATTCTCATAGAAGTCTAATAAACCTACCATACCACCTGGATTCATGTTTTTTCCCATAAAATACGAATAGGTTTTGATACGAATAAGGATATGTTTAATTTGTTCTGAAGCTCCTATCAAAAATGCTTTTATTCTTTCTGGTTTCTGTTCTTTAAATTTCCCTTTGATTGATTTCATATAATTTTTGTATACTCTGCAGGAGTTTTTTGGTCAACCTAGTTTCTTGTAGACGGTGGTTCATTACCATGTCAACTCCAATGATTATAGTGTCTTCTGTTTCTTCATTCTCAGGACTTTCAGCAAAGGCATTTCTATCCAAAAGTGAATCATCAATATTACACACTCTGTCCCACTGGCCATCTTCTCTTCTACCTGCAGACTCAGAGTGACTGAGATCCCTAGCATTTTGTAGATGTGGAAAAGATCTATCTCATCATAGCAAATGAGGTTTTGGTAGAACATTGGGGTGGTAGATGGAGGGAAACAGCAGCACTAAAGCAATATGGGGGCCCAGAGCTCAGTGTGACTGTGAAGCAGGCTGAGATGCAGTTAAGGGTAAGGGAAAACAGGTGGAGAAGCCAGAACACACTCTTGACAGCGATCAGGCAACATTTCTTAAATTTTAAAGTGGAATATCTACCAGAGAAAATTTAGGATTCATACTATTCCAATCAAGTGAGTCCTGTGCAGCATTTTCCTACATGTATTCAGAGTAAAATATTTTAAACTTTTTATTGTTCTATATTCAAACTTCATATAAGTCAAAGCATATAGATACTACATAGGTCTATTTGCTGAATACTGTAAAAGAAATATTTTGTTTTTCAAATTAATCTTGAGGGACCACAAGTAGAAAATGTTTCATACTCTGCATGAGTTAGTTTTGCTTAAGTATTTCATTTTCTGTCATATGGAAGGATATTATTTGGTAAGAGTAGGGAGTGATTACTGGGAAATGAATTTAATATAAAAATCAAAATACATTAATAAAATATTAAAAAAATGAATGCTGAGTATACTGAGAAGGTATAGAAATTTTTAAAAGATAACTTGTGGTTATCTCTTGGAGGGAATTTTACTAGAATTTTAAAGCCTTAAATTTTTACTGATCTCAAAGTTGAACTATTTTAAAAAGAAGCCAAATCAAATTTCAGTTTGATAGAAACTAGGAAATAATATACTTTTATTTGTATAACATGCACCAGAAACTCTTAAAAGCAGTGAAATGTTTTTCTACTTACTGTTTAAATGGAATTTTTTCTCCTACAGCTAGTCCTAAAAATAACCCAGAAAATACAATATGTTAAGGGATGAATTAATAAAGCAATAAGAAAAACTGCCTAAGAATATTCATTAAAAAAAGAAAAGTACTCTGGCAGAGGCCAAGTACTTATAGAGCTTTATTAACTTTAGATAATTTCTTAGTCATTCACAACTACTTAAGCAGATAGAAAGAAAACTAATTCAGGAAAGGTTGACAATTTAGGTTTAGTGAATTAAACAAATAACAACATAGTCACCTGTATTTTTTGGCTCTTCCTTAACTTCTGTAGGAATTTCTGTCTGGAATACCCTGGAAGAGCCAATAAAGATTAATGAAAATCTGTAGATTTCAAATGAAGAATGCTTAAATCTTATATTCTGTTTTGACTAAGCCAAGAATAATATTTTTATTTTTGTCCCACTGTATACTGTCCATAAGCTGAAAAAGCTAAAAGAACTTCATTTGTCACAAAACAAACACATCACTTAAATTTGCTAATGTGGTCTTCTAATGAACAACCAATTAATTGAATTGCATTTGAACTGCGAGTGAAATGACATGATATACTTCTCATTAGAGACAGGATTCTGTTTTAATGAATACCATTAATGAATACTATCCAGTTTTTAAAAATACATGTTTGTGTATGTGTATACACACACGCACATGTGCATACACACACACACACACACGCACACACACATACACGGACACTATGGGGGCAGGAGGGGAGGTGGGGTCAGAGGCCTTATCAGGGAAAGATTGCAGGACTCTCTGCTGCCACTGAATGTGGGGCCAATGTGGGACCCATTACTGACTAGATGTGCTCCCAGGCTGTGGCTGTGGACAAGGAGTGAGTACAGGCTGGTGAATGTGATTGCAGAAGCCTGGGCGCCCTCCTGGTTGTGGTCACTTGCAGCAGAGTGGAGGTGCTGGTTTTGGTTCCAGGGCAGAGCAGTAAGCTGAAGCTTATAGGAGGGACCACACGGAGTAAGAGTGTTTGTGGAGATAACATATCTGGGGGCCCTGGTCAGGCTCAGGGGCAGAGAGGAGTTATCTGAGGTCAGGCACCCAGAGAGAGCTCAGAAAACAACAGCACCAAAAACCTGAAGCTTGAGATATTATCCCCAATATCTCAGGATTAGTGCCTGATTCTAACACAAAAAGTTAAATTAAAATATGAATAAATAAATTAATAAAAAAGTTAACAGTCAAAAATAAGCCACTTTAAAAAAACGAATAAGCAAAAGAGAAAGAATCTGACCATAGACAGGCACTATAGTGACAGAGAAGAATTGAGTTCAAACTCAGAAGATAGTGAAGTCAAAACAGCAACTTCTGCTTCAAAGAAAAATGCAAAATGGTCACAAGCCTGAAAGAGTTCTTAGAAGAGCTTTAAAAGGACTTTAAAAATCAAATAAAAGAGTTTTAAGGAAAAATTGGGAAGAGTAATGCAAAGAAATCAAGAAAATTATGAAAAGAAAGTCAACCAACTAGAAAAAGAGATCCAAAAATTTACAGAAGAAAATAACTCCTTAAAAATTAGAATTGGAGGCAGCTAGGTGGCACAGTGGATAAAGCACCGGCCCTGGGGTCAGGATTACCTGAGTTCAAATCTGGCCTCAGACACATAACACTCACTAGCTGTGTGACTCTGGGCAAGTCACTTAACCCTTTCAAACTAATGATAACATTCTTAAGAGTTACAATGTTTTCCCATATAAGAAGTAAAAAGTTTGACCTTATTAAATCCCTTATAATTGGTCTTTCATGTTTGCCTTCTTATGTTTTTTCTGATTCTTTGTAGGTTAAATATTCTATTTAATTCTGGTCTTTTCCTCACAAATACCTGAAAGTCCTTTAATTCATTAAATATCCATTTTTTTCCATTCAGAATTATACTCAGCTTTGCTGAGTATAAATTAGAGTTGGGCAAGGGTAAGCTAATGACTTCATAGACATCAAGAAATAATAAAACAAAATCAAAAGAATGAAAAAAAAATAGAAGAGAATGTGAAATATTTCTGAAAAACAACTGACCTGGAACACAGATTGAGGAAAGACAATATAAAAATTGTTGGACTACCTGAAAGTTATGATCACAAAAAGAAACTAAACACTACAGTTCAAGAAATTATTATGGAAAGTTGCCCTGAAGTTTTATAATAAGAGGGAAAATAGAAATTGAAAAAATTCACTGATCACTGCCTGAAAGAGATCCCAAAATGAAAACTCACAGGAATATTATAGCTAAGTTTCAAGGTTCCCAGGTCAAGGAGAAAAATATAGACATAACTAGAAAGAAACAATTTAAATACTGTTGAGCTACAGTTAGGATAACATAAGATTTAGCAGCTTCAACACTAAAAGACCTAAAGGCATGGAACAAGATATTCCAAAGAGCAAAGGAGCTGTGTTTGCAACCAAGAATAACTTACCCAGCAAAGCTGAGTATAATTCTGAATGGAAAAAAATGGATATTTAATGAATTAAAGGACTTTCAGGTATTTGTGAGGAAAAGACCAGAATTAAATAGAATATTTAACCTACAAAGAATCAGAAAAAACATAAGAAGGCAAACATGAAAGACCAATTATAAGGGATTTAATAAGGTCAAACTTTTTACTTCTTATATGGGAAAACATTGTAACTCTTAAGAATGTTATCATTAGTTTGAAAGTGCATACATAGGTAAAAGACTTACAGTTGAGTATGATGGGATAATCCTAAAAAATAAAATTTGTAGAAAGAGGTAAAAGGGAGCAATTATCTCATACAAATGAGGCATGAAAGGAAGAACTATTACAGTGGAGGGCAGGAAGGAATGGAAAGCTGGTAGTGCTAGAACCTTATTTTCATCAGAACTGGGTTAAAGAGGGAATATTGTATACATCTAGAAAGGTATAAAAGTCTTAACCTACAAAGAAGTAGGAGAGTGAAGGGATAGAATAACGGAAGGAGGAACTTCGTAGAAGGACATGCAGATTAAGAAATAAAAGGGCAAAGAGATAAGATAAGGGAAAGACTTTTAGAAGGGTGTGCAGATCAAGAAATAGGAAGGTAAGGGAGATGATAAGGGATGAAGTCTTGGGGCAAGTAGATTAAGGAATAGGAGGGCCAGGGGAGAGGATAAGAAAGGGAATCTTAGAGGGGGTTCAGATTAGAGAGGCAGTGGTCAGAAGTAAATTAGATGTCAGAGGAAGGATAGGGTAAAAAGAGAGAGGGAGAAAGATAAAACAGTGAGGAAAAACAGGATGGAGGGAGGAGAGGATTCTGGGAAGATGGCAGAGTAGGTCAGAAAATCCCAAACTCTCCAGATTTCCTCCACAAACAAGACAAAATAGCACTTCAGGGTGAAGGTAAAGTGACAAAAATTAAAAAGGCTTGGGGCAGAAGAGTTGTCCTTCAGGCACAACTGAAGAAGGTCTGAAGAAAAGTTGGAATTTGGTTCAAATGAAGTATAAACACCTCCAGGTTAGCTCTGCTCAAGCAGCAAGCCCTGGGGGCAGCTGGGTTGGCAGGTAGCCACAGGAATTTTCACCTCCCAGACAGTGTGGGGAGTTGGGGGAAGACTGAGGGAGCCTCTGCTGACAAGGGATGCCAGGCCCAGCTGGATTGCCAATACGTGGTCTTAGGCAATAAGAAACCAGCACACACGCCCAGTGAGTGCAAAAGCAGTGTGACAGGGATGCCGCTGGCTGTGGGCACTTACAGGATAGCTGAGTTCTTGGTCCTGGTTCCAGGCCAGAGGTGAGAACTGAAGGTTATAGCCACTGGCAAGTTCTCAGGGAGCAAAAGCATTTCTAGCATAGTGTGCCAGAGGGCCCTAGCCATGGCTTGGAGGGCAAAAGCACTGCAGAGGTTAGGCTCAGGACAAAGATCAAAAAATAACAGTAAGAAGGACTTGAGGCTAGCGTTACCATCCCCCACACCCCAAGATCAGAGGTGATTATAATAACAAGATGCTAAAAAAATTTTTTTTAATGAGCAGGCGAAAGAGAAAGAACACAACCATAGACAGTTACTATGGGAATAAAGAAGACCAGAATAAGTCTTCAGAGGAGGATACTGAAGCCAAAAAAGCCTTTCTTACCTCAAAGAATGTCAAATGGTTACCTGCCCAAAAAGAATTCGTAGAAGAACTCAAAAAATATTTCAAAAATCAAATAAGAGAGATTGAGGGGAAAAAAATTTTTTTTTAAAGTAAGAACAATCCAAGAAAAACAAGAAGATTATGAAAAGAAAGTTAGCCAACTGGAAAAGGGAATCCAGAATCTTTTTTTTTTTACATTCCTATTAAACACGTTTTCACATTAGTCATGTTGTAAAGAAGAATTAGAACCAATAGGAGGAATCATAATAAAGAAGAAACAAAACAGAAGAAAAAAAAAAGAGCAAACAGTGTACTTTGATCTGCATTCAAACTCCATAGTTCTTTCTTTGGATGTGGATAGCATTTTCCATCATGATACTTTTGGAAATGTCTTAGATCTTGCATTGCTGAGAAGAGCTAAGTTTCTCAGAGTCAGTCATCACACAACATGACTGTTACTGTGTACAACATTCTCCTAGTTCTGCTCACTTCACTCAGCATCAGTCTATACAAGTCTTTTCAGGTTTTTCTGAAGTCTGTTTCCTCATCATTTCTTATAGCATAATAGTATTCCATTACATTCATACACCACAGATTGTTCAGCCATTCCCCAATTAATGGGCATCCCCTCAATTTCCAATTCTTTGCCACCACAGAAAAAGCTGCTACAAATATTTTTGTACATGTGGGTTCTTTTCCCATTTTTATGAGGAGATCCAGAATCTTAAGAAGAAAATGATTCCTTGAAAATTAGAATTGGGCAAGGGGAAGCCAGTGAAGTTATAAGAGACAACAAATAAAGCATCAAAAAATAGAACAGAATGAGAAACAGCTTATAAGAAAAACAACTGATCTGGAGAACAGATCAAGAAGAGAAAACATAAGAATAATCAGACTACTTGAAAGCTATGATCAAAAAAAAAGAATCTTGACATAATAATACAAGAAATAATTAAAGAATATTGTCCTGAAGTATTAGAACAAGAGGGGAAAGTAGAAATAGAAAAAATTTACTGATCACCACCTGAAAGAGATCCTAGGAGGAAAATCTACAGGAATATCATAGCCAAATCCTGAAATCCCCAGGTTAAGGAGAAAATATTATAAGCGACAACAACAACAACAAAAATTTAAATACAGTGGAGCCACAATTAGAATTACAAAAGACCTAGCAATGGCTATAATAAAAGACCACAAGTCTTGAAACACTATATAT